TATGAATCATTTGAGAATTTTTGCTTTTAATGCTTAAAATTACTTTTTTATTTCAAATAACTTTTCAATATTTTTTTGCATAAATTATTTTTAGCATTAAAAAACGTAAATATTGCTTTTCTATTTCCCATAGCAACGGTTGTGAATAAAATTAGCAGAAAAATTAAATGAGAGAAAAAGAGATAATATTTGATAAAAAAATTATATTGTCTATAAATAATTTAAAAATATTTTTGTCTTATCTTAACTTTTTCTTTTTTTAATTTTTAAAATTATATTTTTATTTTATCTGAGGTAATTTATGTTTAACCTTGCTGAAAAGAAAAATTTCTTGTTTAAATAAAAAAAATCGAGATACTTCCCTCCCCCTCATACATATTCCTTTCCACAAAATTCTTTTGTTCCACAACCCTAAATTTTCGCAATCCCTATTTTTCTCATTTGAAGTACCTAATTTAATTAGAATTTTCTTTTTCCAAATACATATTTATTTAATAACAAATTCTAATTTTAGATTTTAATAAATATTTTTTTTATAATTTTATTTATTTTTAAATAAATTAATGGGAACAATTACTTCTTCATATTTCGCTTATGGAAGTACTTGTGATGAAAATATTGACAACAAAAATAATTTAAATAAAAATGAAATATTAAAAGAAGAGATGGAAGAGGGAGAGAATAAAAATTGTTGTAATAAAAATAAAAAACCTTTACAAAAAAATGTTTTGCCCCTTTTGGGAAATGGAAGGTTTGATGTTGGTTGTGCTGATATTATGGTGAGGGGATTAATAGTAATTCTTGAGGAATTTAATTGAGGAAATTCTTGAAAATTATCCATTAGTTATTTATTCTATATCCAAAAACTTATCTAAATAACGGGTCAAATATACATATTTTTATTGTTAAAAATTGGTGGATAAACTCTATTTAGTGTTAGTATATGTACATAAATACTTCGATATAAGAGACATATGTTCTTTTGGGGTTTTCTATTGTATTTGATTAATTTAGACTTAATGGTTTTCCCTAATTTTTGTCTATATGTTTATGACTTATTGTTAATAAAGCTCCTGAGCCATAGCTATTTCTTTCCTTCAGCTAGTGCAAGAGGTTAATCGGCGGTTAGAAGCGAACCAGAAACTTCCGTAGACCGGACTTTTCCATTTTACACATTTTTGTTATCCATTACATCACGCCACCTACTGCACAACTTTAGTAATAAATAGCTATATGCTTTACAACTTGAGCAATTTTTTTCTTAAATGCTTTCAATAAATTCTAATTAATTTGGAGATTTAATTTAAAATTATTTAATTCTTTTAAAAGATTTTGAATGGAGAGGAGTGTTGTTGTTCATCTAATAATGATAAAGAAAAGTGTGAAGGAATTTTTGCTCGAATTTATTACCCTAGTGAAGCTTTAAGTCCAGATAAATACACAATAGAAAGGTTAAATGAATTTATGCAATGGAAGCCTGATGAGAAGGTTATTGAGGGATTGGCTGCTTATAAAGGGATGAGTTCTTGGAAATTAAATTTAATTTTGGATTGGATACTTGGCGATAAAAGGTGGAGAAAATATTTGGGGAAAATAATTTTTTTTGAATGATATTTTTAAATCATTTTTGTGAAGGAAAAAAATAATTTTTGGAGTAATTTAAAGGGTGGAATTTTTAATTTAAAAATTCGAATGTTGGAAAATTAAAAAAATACTGTTTTTTTTCCAATATAAAGACATTTAAAAAAAATCTTACTTTTTTAGAATCCCAGCCCGTTGGCAAGTCCCTCTTGCTAAATCTGAGGAACAATTTCCCGTTGTTGTATTCTCTCATGGAATTAGTGGAACTAGACAACTTTACTCAATTAATTGTTCTTCTTTGTCCAGTCATGGTTATGTTGTTGCTGCTTTGGATCACAGGTAAAATCTTCGGACAAAATCTCTTTCCGATTCACTTCCATTCCTTTCTAAACCTTAGGGTTGGGTTTTTCGAGTCGAGCCGACGTTCAAGTCATTTTTTTCGGGCAGGCCCGACCGAGTCTTTTTCGGGCCAAAATTTGCTGCCCGACTCGATCTTTCGGACCAAACCGGGCCCCCAACCCTCTAAACCTTCACTATGTCCCCTTCTGTTCCATTCTATATAATTTTCTTTTAATTTTTAGAGATGGCTCTTCTTGTTATACCTATGAATTGAATAAAGACCCGTCAACTGGTGAATTAATTCAAAAACATATTGAAATGAAAAAACTTCCACACGAAGAGCAAGAATACGAGAGTAGAATAGCTCAGGTTAATTAATTTTTTGTTCAAATTAAAAAAATATTTTTAGGTACAACAACGTACATTGGAAACAATTAACATGTTAAAATTATTTAAAAAATTAAATGAGGGATTGCGTAATTCAAATGTAGAAATTGTTTGTGGAAATGAATTTGATTGGGAACAATTTAAGGGAAGATTAAATTTGGATAAAGCAATTTCAATTGGGCATAGCTTTGGAGGAGCTTCAGCTTTGACTTCTTGTGCTGTTGAAAAGGGTTTTAAAGTATTTTTTTGTTGTTTTATTTGAATATAGGGAAGGAAAGGAAGAAGGTAATAAAGGCTGTGTTTAGTAATTCAAAAACATATTGAAATGATACAATATATCAGGCCCGTAGCCGGGGAGGGCCTTCGGCTTACCTTTGCCTTTTGGCGCCAAAAATTCGGCTCTGAAAAATTTTCCCCTCTTGCCCCCCCCCCCCAAAAATTCTAGTTATGGGCCTGGTTTATATTTGTTAACTTCACTAATTTGTTACAATAATTTGAAGGCCTCTGTGTCTATATATTAAATTTCCTTTATTTAAAGTGTTGTGTTGTTATGGATGCTTGGCTATATCCTTTTGACTGTAAATATTACGAAGAAATTACCCAACCAGTTTTAATGTTAAATGCGAGTAAATGGCAATGGCCTATGAATTTGAAGGTTTTTCTCTTTTTAATCTTTTTAAAATAATATTTTTTAAAATTATTTTAAGAGATTGTTGTATTTACAACAACAAAATGGAGGGGAAGGGAAATCAATGTATACATTGACTGATATTGTGCATCAATCTTTTTCAGGTTTTTTAAAGTTATTATTGGGATTTTCCCTGGGTTTTCTGGGCGGGAAGAAAGTGAGAGGTTGGTTGTTCCTGGGAAATATTCGGATATTCAAAAGCAAAAATACATCTTTTTTCGGTCCCGAATGCCCAGAACGGGGTCGCTTTAGTATACCTACACCGAGATCGGAACTCATAATATATACCATTCGATTCGTCTCGCCAAGCTGTGTTCAAATATGTAAGAATTTTAAGTGGGAGACGAAGACTCGCAGAACTACAGGCGACCTTAGTAGAAGCCCAAAGAACCGTCTAAAACGTCTTTTTTTCAGATTTGGGATTACTCACTCCAGGAAGAATTGGCAAATTTATGGGTTTTCAAGGTCAACACGACCCCGAATATTTGGCAAATATAATTATTCAACTAATTACAACATTTACTGAAGACCCAATTAATTCTAAAGAAAAATTAAAAGAAATTTCAAAAACATTAAATTGCCCAGTTTTAATTGAAGGGACCGACGTTCCTAGAAGAAAAATTGGATGAAATATCTCTCGATTTGGCTGAAAATCATTCTTCAGAGATTGGGGAGAATGAAGAAAGAATACTTCATGAATCTGGGGAATAAATTTAAACAAAAAGATGCTCAAAATTAATTTTTTTATTTTTAAATTTTTTCATAAAAAATAATAAACACGATTTTTAAAAAATATTTTTAATGGTTTTTTAAATATTTAAAAATAAAAAATAGATGGTTTTGCCTTAATTTATAATTTTTAATGAACCTATATTATTTAATGACTTGTGTTAAACTCTGATTCTTCTCATTATAATTTTATTTAATTTTAAAGGCAATTCAATTTTTATAAAGGCAACACAAACGCCTTCTGGCTGACTGTTAAGGCTTAACTGACGTCGACTTTACACACAAAAACGACAATTCTTGTTACCCCTATTTCAACCTATTTCGTTTATTCCTCCCTTAAAATTCGCAGCCCGACGATTAACTTAATTAACAAAAAATTTAAAATATTTTAATCAAAAATTACAAAAAAATCTCGATACAATTTATAGAGGTTGACAAACTTTAAAATTTTTTTAATCTTTGGCAAAATCGAAACAAACCCAACAAATCAATCAAAGGGAGAACTCACATTTGGACTCTCATCTTCTTCAGTCACCAATTGCAAAAGAAATGGTCGACGTGCACAACGAACTTGTTCTGGCGGAGATTTAAAAGCAACATCAAACAAAGAATCATTTAAGCTGAGATCTTTAAGGTCCTTAAACTAAAAAAATGCTTTATTTAAATATATGAAAACAAATTTTATGGTAAACCTATAGACTAGAAATTTAATTATAAAAAAGGAAAAAACTGTCTACCCTTTATGAACATTCAAACTCAATCTTGGAAACCATCCGTTAGGAAACGAATATCCTAAACCTCTCCTAAACTTTTTCTCAATTAATTTTAGCTTATTCGCCCCCACTGTTAACTAATTTAGGGTATTTTTAATATTCTTCCTCTTCTTGCTTTAGAGAACTTTGTCCACCCAATAACCCAAATATTAATTTTTGAAGATGGGGATTTGCAAAACTGGATCCAATTAAAAATAAAAACGAACGTCAGTCGTGTTGTCATTGAAAAATTTGTCAGAACAATCAGTACTATTTTTGCGATCATTTTCCTCCAGAGGTTTCCACTCTAATTTCGTAGCCTGCTCTTTACATTCAGAAATTGTACGAAAACCTCCAAGAGCCCTTAAAATTAAAAAAAATTTATTTAATTTTTTGAGAAAAATATAAACTTTGCTATGCGCTCCCAGTGGGCATCTGTTGTTGGATTAACTGCGGCTTTGAGTGCAATCTGAAAAATATTAAAATAAAAAGAATTTTTAAAAATAATAAAAAAATATTTTTACAGCAAAAAATACTTAATGATTCCCATAAAAGACCAAAAAATTTATTGTTAAATTTAACCAAAAAATCCAAGACGGACCAATTTCCCAATTTTTACTATTACCTAAATAAAAAAAAATTCCATTCACAAACCTTCAATTTATTAGATTCTTCTCTAGTCCAACGCTTCCTTTTTGGCGTTTTCATCTCATTATTTAAATTTTTCTTAGAAATTTTTTTCGTAGCAGATGAACACATTTTTGGAGACTTTGAAGGTTCGGGTACCTTTTCTGGACTAGAATTTCGTTTAATTGGTGTTGCATCCGGTCTCTGATCAGAATAAATAATTCTTCGAAAAACTCGTTTTCCACGAAAAATAACTGGAGTTGGCGTTGCTCTTGGAGTTTTTTGTTCATCATTTCCAGAATCAGAAGAAGGAGAATAATCGACAAGTTTTAAAACATTCATTTTCGATAAAATATTATTGTCTAAAAGAATTGGAAATTAGAGAAATTACTTTTGCAGAAAAAAAAGTAAATAACGAAGCCATTTAATTTTTAAATTTTAATTAATTTACTTGAAAGTTTTCGTTTCGAAATTTTATTTTCAAATTAAATACAGTATACCGGCAATATATTTACGATCACTTGTTAAAAAACCATCAATAACTCGATTAATTGGTAGAAAATTAATTGAATGGTACATATTTATTTTTAAGGCTCCGGTACAAAATATGGAATCGTTAAAATATGGAATGGTTAAAATCGCGAATAGGCTAAAAAGGGGTTAAAATACCGAAACGTTAAAATATGGAAACGTTAAAATATCGAATCGGGTAAAAAAGGGTTAAAATATGGAATCGTTAAAATATGGAATGGTAAAAATGTCGACACGGCTAAAATCTGTCAAAATGTCGAATTCTTTTAAAAAAGGGTCATATGAGTGCAATACGCTGATTGTTGATGACAACTTATCAACTTATTTTTGATAATTTGATTGATAAGTTTCGTATGTCGTAGTAAAATCAAAACTAAGCAAAATAAAAATTTTATATTTCATTTAAAATCACCGAACAAAAATCATTAAAGCTAGAATCATTGAACAATAAAATAATAATCAAAGTCAATAAAAAAATAATAAAAAATAAAGTAAAATATTAATAGATAAATAATGAACTAGAAGCGTCTAAATAATCTTGACTAATAATTTGACTTTCCAAAGTTGCACTATCCACACCATCTTCAGTATCACGTTCTTCCTGTTGACGTGTAGCAACTCGCAGTCCCTCAACATAACCACTCATTTGTAAGCCAAGGAGCGTTAGAACATTCAGAAGTTGTCTATTATCATCGTATTCGGCTTCATTTAGCTTCATTATTCGGCTTCATTAATAGCACGCCTTACTTCTCTCAATACTTCCTGATAATGAATTGTCTTTTTTGTTGGAAGAAGGGCTTGGACACAAACAACAATGCGACCTCGTACAAAAGCACCAATACAAAAACATTGCGCAAATGGCCTTGGGGCGGATTTGAAGGTGCCATCACAGGCCCAATGCTTATTTTGAGATAATATATCGAGCAACTAAATTTTTAAAAATAATACTAGTTCAAAATTATTAAAATTAACCCTTGCATGGCTAAAGACAAGAACAACATCCTCATTTCCACGCTCATCTCTACTGTCGTAAATCAACGTTGATGAGTTGTATTTTTCTGTCAAAAACGCTGGAATGACCATTTTTCCAAGATCCACACAATTAACGTTCCCAAACTTTTGCTTTTTTTGCCTAAAATGAGGGTAATTTATTGAAAGAAAATAATGAAAATAAACCTCTTTATAAGCTGATTTAAAGCATCATCACTACCCAAAGCAATGTAAACTTCATCTGGGATATTTGCTCGTACTTCTCCCAGAATTGGTCTCTTATCCTTCTTCAATCTATTTCTAAGCTCTTCACAAACTTTTTTTTGAATTGCTGGAGGATGATTATGCTCTTTTTCTCCTAAACTGCCAATAAATTGGCCATTTTTCTCTTCAGCTTTTGCAGTTGCCTGGCAGTCCAAGTTTGAACAACGCCAATGAATATTTTTACTCTTGACATATCGATACCCTCAAAAAATCCATTTTAATAATTTGATATCTAGCTCAAACCTGCATGCCAAAGGCTGACGCCACCCTTCTGTGTAACTCCTTGTTCAAATTTTGTCAGATTTGCTCCATAGCATTTTTCATTTTCTCCATCAAGATTTGCTTCTGGTTCTTGTTCATTTAAATCAGAAGTATCATTGATTTGTAATCGTCGTTTTCGAGTTTTTTGTAATTTTGCTAAAGTTGTTCGTACATCCATTTACGGATAAAATTCTAAATTAGAGGTAAAATCTATTAATGAGGTAAAATCAGTTGCAGAAGACGGTATATTTAATCTGATTTTGGCCGTGTCGACATTTTTACCATTCCATATTTTAACGATTCCATATTTTAACCCTTTTTTAGCCGATTCGATATTTTGACCATTCCATATTTTAACGATTCCACATTTTAACCCCTTTTTAGCCTATTCGCGATTTTAACCCATTTTTACCCGATTCGAGATTTTAACCCTTTTTTAGCCTATTCCATATTTTAACGATTCGGTATTTTGTCCGGACACGATTTTTAATGATAGATAAAGTCTACTGATAAGAAAGTAAAAGCATAAAATGAATGTTTTTGTGATGGGAAAGTATATTAAATGAAAAATAGAAAATAAATTAAATTTCCTTCATTTAAATAGAAATTAATGGAGAACCAGCAATAATTAAGTTTATATGATGCATTCTTTCTCAATCTATTTTTCCCAAAATACCCCTCTATTTGCCGTATTCACCAAATCAAACGAAAAGTTTAAGTTTTTATACAAAGATTGTGAAAATGATGCCATCTTTTCAGGCAAAATTATGTCATATTGCCGGAAATAACTCGGAAACTTTAAAAATTATTCTCCAGAATTTATGTGTCGTAAACAATTTGATAATATTCAAAATATATTTTTTGAAATCATGTTTCACTTTTTATCCTTGTGAAAACATTGATTAAAAGTTAATCTTCTCGTTTGAAATGGTGCCTACAAAATATAGAGGTTGATTTTGGGAAAGATTAAAAATGAGAGAAAATGCGTCACATAAACTTAACTATTATTGAAATAAGTAATTTTAAGAATGAATTCAATTTTAAACTTTTATTTAATTTTTACAATTTATTGTTTTTTATCAGTCCATGCATTCTATGAAGATTCTGAAGATTTTTCATTTATTTTGGAAAAAGAAAAAATATCAACACCAATTCCTGTTGTGATTTGGCATGGAATGGGTTGGTTTTTAATAAATAAAAATTAAAATATTTGATGGATTTGGATAAATAATATTTAAAATTAATTTTATGGATATTGTAAATATTGTAAATATCTCTATTTTACAAATTTTAAAATTTCAATTCAATTCTCTTCCTCTATACAATAAACTCCCATTAGTACCATTTAATTTAATATATGCGATAGTTCATTTCCAGCAAAAGTTAACAAAGGCTGGTACATTTGTGTCAATTTTTGATTTTTCGTGTCTCTAATAACGAAAATTAACTAAAACTAAAACACAATAAATATATTCTAATATTAAAAACATAAAAAGGTGATTCTTGTTGTAACCCTCTAAGTATGTATTACATCAAAAAATTAATACAAACAAATATTCCTGGAATTTATGTTAAATCTGTAATGCTTGGAAATAATGTAGTTGAAGATGTTGAGAAAGGGTTTTTCTCTAATATGAATGAACAAATTAATATTGTTTGTGAAATGTTGAAAGAAGATGTGAACTTATTGAAAGGATATAATGCTATTGGATTTAGCCAAGGAGGGCTTTTTATGTTCGTTTTTAATTAAAAATATATAATTTATAGTCTATTTCCTTTTATTAGAGAGGCCTCTATTTATTATGTAAGGATGATTCACCTGGATTATTTAAAACGCTTAGGCGGGAGTTAAACGATCTAAAAGGATAGAAGGGAAGGCTTGATGCCCCGTAGCTCAGTGGTAGAGCTTCTGTATATGGTGAGCGAAGGCGCCTAGCAATAACTGTTAGGAGGTCGCAGGGTCCAATCCTGGCCGGTGGCTAAACTTTTGCTAAATTCTTTCTATTATAAAGAACCTTTAAATTATCCTTAAATCATAAAAAAATGAAGAGAAAGGCTTGCCTCATTGTTCTCAATATTTTAATTTAATTTTTTAATAAAAGGGGTCAAAAATATTTTTAAATTAAATTTTTAGGCGTGCTATAGCTCAGCGTTGTCCTTACCCTCCAATGAGAAATTTGGTTAAATATATTTTAATTTAAATATAAAAATTATTTTTTAAAGATATCTGTAGGCGGTCCCCAACAAGGAGTTTTTGGGTAAACAAATAAATTTAGTAAATTAACTCTTTTAAAGTCTGCCTCATTGTTCTGGTTCTGTTGCTATTTGTGACACAATTAGACATTTATTGGATTATGGAGCTTATGAAACGTTTATTCAAAGAACGTTGGTGTTTAAATAATTTTTTCTATTTTTTTATTCTCCAATTTATTCACATTTTCTTAGTCACATACAGAAAATATAAAATTATTTTTATAAAATAAAGTGAAATTCCAATCTCTGATAATCTGTCAATCAGTGTTTCTTTAAAAAATCTACTCACTAGGGATCGTGCTGATAAAACATAATTTTTCAACTTTTAATAATCAGAACAGCATTATTCCTAATATTTACACTAACATTTATCTTATCTCTCATTATTTAATAAAAAAATAAATTTAAATTATTTTTTAGAATAGTTCAAGCTCAATTTTGGCAGTAAGTATCAAATACTATAATTCTTTAAAAAATAATTTTTTCTAAGTGATCCAAATAAAAGAAAAGAATATCAACGTAAAAATATTTTTCTGACAGATTTAAATTGTGAAACAGTTAATTTAATTTAGAAATTAATTTAAAATTAAATTTTTAGACATGTAATTCTACTTACAAAAATAATTTATTAAAATTAAAGAATTTTGTTTTAATTAAATTTTTAAAAGATGAGAAAATGCAACCTAAACAGACCTCTGTAAATTTATTTTAAAAATATTTTTTAATTAAAAATTTATCAGAACCTCTAGTATTTTATCGAATATTTAAAATAATATTTATAAATTAAAAAAAATATTTTTAATTTATAGCTAATAATTTTGATTTCTTTTATGTCAATCCCAACCTCTAAAATTTTTTTATAAATTTTACTTTAGTTATACTCCCAGATTTTGTCTATAACTTTATAAATACACAAAATTATAAAACATTTTTTAATTTAATTTTCCAAATAAAGTGGTTTGGCTTTTATGCTGAAAATGACACAAATACAATTATTCCAATGGAGAAAACACGTCTTTATCAGGAAGATTTAATTGGGTATTTAATTATTTTTATTTAAATTTCTAAATTTTAAAAGATTAAAAACACTTGAGGAGAGTGGCCGTCTACATTTTCTTTCAATTAATGGAGAACATTTACATCTTCCGCCCGGGGTGAGAAATAATTTTAAATTAATATTTTATATTAATTTTTATAACCATTTTTAAATAAATCTCCAAATCCTCGACTTAAAATCTTTAAAAATATTTTTATTTTAAAGGTCTTTACCAAAGAAATTATTAATAAATATTTAAAAGATAATTCAAAAAATTATTTAAATGAACAACTGGAAGATGATATTTTAAATTTATATTAATTAAAGTTTATCGAGAATTAAACTAAGAATTAAAAACAAATATTTTTAACACAATTTTTAATTATTTATTTAATTATCATTCTCTCTCTTTTTTTGTGTCAATCATTGATAAAAAGAAAATTAAGGTCATTTCCTTTAATATTTTTAGCGGCGATTGCCCCCAATTCGTTATTATAAGTATAATTAATGGATAAAGTAATGTATCTATTAAATATATAGGGAGGAATATTTGTTCAAAACAATTTTAAATATTTTATTATTTTAACAAACAACTTCTCGTTAAAAAGAACAAAAAATCAGCAAATTTCTCTTTTCTCGCATGTTTACAAAATTTACTAGCTAGCTTGTAAATAACTGTTTATCTTGTATTATACACATCCCAAAGAAGTTTTAATTTTTTTTTAAATTTAAGAATGGCCCCTATTTGGACCACAGATAACAAAACTCCCCAATTATCCAACATTTCAACACTTCCATTCGGCAACGGAAAAGCTATGGAAAATGACGGAAATTTAAATGAAGAAGAACGTCCACGTCGTTCTCTTCGTTTATTAGCCTTTGCCTCTGTAGCTTTTGCCACAGTTTCAGTTCTTGGATGTGTTGTTACATTGCCTATTGTATATAGTCATGTACAAAGCATACAAGCATTTATGCAAAATGAAGTGGACTTTTGCAAGGCAAAAATTTGAGAAAAAATTATTTTTAATTAAAAAATATATAGACTCGTTCACGGGATATGTGGAGAGAAATTTTACAAATCCAATCGGTAACTGGTGTATCTGTTAACGAAACAATTGAAAGAGGAAAGCGTCAAAACAATGCAAGATATGATGCTCAAGCCATAGGGTCTCCACCTGGAAGTGGAGCGGTTGGAGGTGGAAGTTGTTGTAATTGCCAAGTGGGACCGCCTGGTCCACCTGGCCCTCCCGGAAGAGATGGAAGACCTGGGTAATCTTTGCTTATTTAAAAAAGGAGGGAGTAGATAATGGAAAAGTACCAAAAATTCATTTCAGAGCTCCAGGCCGACCTGGAAATCCTGGTCCACCAGGTAGAGATGGTGTTCTACTTCCAGGACCAGTTTGTTATTAAACTTAATTACTCAATAAATTACTATTTTAGCCTCCAAAACCTCCCTGTCAAAAATGCCCGCCTGGACCTCCAGGCAAGTTTTCAAGAAAAGACAGTTTTGACATTATTTTTTATAGGTCCACCAGGACCTCCTGGACCAAAAGGATTGCCAGGACCTCAAGGAGAAGGTAAATGCACTTCTCTTAAATGTAAAGCTCTTATTTTAAGCCGGAACTCCCGGAAGAGATGGAACTCCTGGATTGCCAGGTCCCCCTGGTCCACAAGGCCCGCAAGGACCTCCAGGATTGCCTGGAGATAAAGGACCTCCTGGCGAGCCTGGAAAGGTATGGAAACCTAAAAGAGATTGTTTATTATCAATACTTTTTTAGATAATCAACGGTGCACCGCCAGGGCCGCCTGGTAAATAAATTTTAATTTTGTAAAAATTAAAGTTTATTTTTAGGGCCCCCAGGAGCGCCTGGTCCTCAAGGACCGCCAGGACCTCCAGGAAGAGGTTTAGTTTATATTTTTGAAGAAAATAAATGTATATTTTTAAGATGGACAACCAGGGAAGCCAGGACCGCCTGGTCCACCAGGAGGTTTTATTTAATAAATTAAATAGCTATAATTAATTCCCTCAAACAGATCCTGGAGAGAAAGGTGCTGATGGATTGCCTGGACCTCAAGGACCTCCAGGGCCAAGAGGACCGCCTGGCCAACCAGGCTCATGTGTAAGTCGAAAATAATTTATTAAATAAATTGATTAAAAATTAAATTAAAGGATCACTGTCCTCCTCCAAGAACTGGACCGGGATATAATCGGAGATGAAGGAGGGAGAGAAAGGGGAAAATAAAAAATATTTAAATTTCTTTTTTAGTTCATTTTTAGATGATGTTCATAAAATTTATTTATTTTTGGGTTCTCTCTTAAATAAATTCGAAAATTGGAAAAAATCGTCAAAAAATTTAATTCAAAAATAAAATTAATCTTCCCTTCAAATTAAATCTACTCCCTATTTATAATTTTACCCAGTTCAAAAATTATTAAATTTTAATTTAAATAATTTTATTCCCCAATTAATATAAACAACCTTTGTATAGAAAACATTAAAAGATAATTAAGATTGCTTTAAAATCATTTATTTGTCCTCATCAGGTTCAGAAATTTGTATCCACTGATTAGGTAAACGTTCTTGAAATAAATTAACCTGAAAATAAAAATATTTTAAATTAATTTCCTCGGCAAACTTTATTGTCTGCTCCAGAAACAGCCAAAACAGTTGCACATAATGACCAACTTACATGCCAAAGGGCTAAAAAGAATTTTTTAACGAATTAAAAAAAATTTCTCTTACGATCATCATATTTTCGAAGTACACGACTTGTCCATTTTGGACCTTCATCTGAATCCAAATTTGAACATCTCCAAATTATTACTTGTCCATCGACTCCACAAGAGGCTATTGTACTTGTCAATGAGTCAGAGGGAGACCAGGCTACATCTCGGACCCTAAAAATTTTTCAAAGATAAATAACGTAAAAAATAATTTTATTAAGAAAATTAGAAATTAACCAATTTTCATGTCCCTCTAGTTCAGCCTCCATTTTCCAGTTCCCAGGCGTTTCTTCTCTAAAATATAAACAACAAAAGATTAAATTAAGAATTTCTTTAAAAACCTCCAGATTTTTACTAGCCGATCATTTCCACCGGTTACAAATCGTTTAGGATCGATTTTCTCGGTTTTGTCAAGAACTGATTTTATTCTCTTCGCTGGTGCCCAACTGATGGCATTACATCCCTTAAAGAGTATTCTTTTAAAGAAGGATAACCAAATAATAGTTGTGACCCAAACCTCTTAAATTTAAAAATAAAACCTCTTCGTGTGCATTATTAATCTTCAAAGGAGACCAAACATCACCCATATATTGAACAACAGAAATTGAACAATCTGTGGAACAACAAGCAAAAATCAGTCCATATTCAGGATATGCCCAACTAATGCTATTAATACTTGCTTCATGTTGATTATATTCATACTATATAGAGAAAATTGAATAAAAACGTTAAAAACTCTAACCGATTTTTGCCATTTTCCATTAACTTCTCTCCAAATAATTGCTTTTCTGAATTAAAATAAAATTTTAAAAAATAATTGCAAGATATACCGATCATGAGAGCAAGATGCTAATACATTATCAAATTTTGGAGGTGCCCAACTCACTTGCCAAACCTCAAAAAAATTTTATTTTATCATAATTTATAAGAAAAATCTTTAAATTTTATAAAAAATATATACCGGTCCGTCATGCCCTGTAAGTTCAGCTATCGGTAGACTTTGACCATTAGCCTTTATCTCAAAAATCTTGACCAAGTGGTCGCTTGAGCAAGTAGCAAGACGAGTCCCATAATAATTCATTTGCGCATCGTGCTTAAATTTTATTTTAAAATTCAATAAAAGATAACATTACAATAATGTCACGATGTCCAGTCTCCACTCTTGAGGTTAATGAAACCTAAAAATAAGAAAATAAATTTAGAAATACAAAAAATTACCATTTTTAGGAATTTAAACAAGCTCTATTATATTTCCAAAACAAAAATTGCAGAAATTCCTAAAAAAAATAAGACGAATTATCTAAAAAAGGTCAATCAAAGAACGTTAAAATTAAAAAGTATTTGCAAGCTTTAGCAAGCTATAATTTCTGTAAAAATATAAAAAATAATGTTTTAATAAAAACAAAATACCAAATTGACAAAATAATTTATAAAAGATTTTTAATTTCATAAATTTGTTCCAAAATTTTCTTCTTAATTTTGTACATTCGCCTCTCGTCATATTTCTGCACAAAAACTGGTGCCCATTCTATGTCTTCAATGTTAAGGTTGAGAGAAGAGAAGGCCAATGAAATCACCTATGAGAATATTGAAATCAAAACTTTAAACAATAAATTTCTCCAAATTCACAAAAAAGACCCCAAAAATAACAAAAAAAACCTCAATTACACCCAGCCCCTAATTACAATCAAGTTTAATTAAAAACTAACAGCAACAGCAAGTGTCCTCGGTCTATGGTCAAGAACAATCTCTGGATAAACGTACAAATCTTGTAAGAGCATAGCCGTAACCTTTTCAATATCGTCTCGTTGTCGAAGAAATATATTTGGATACCAATCACGAAGAAGTCGGATTATTAGAATAACATCCTTAAAAAATAAAATTTCTAATGATTTTTAAATAAAATACTTGATGTGGATGTTCAAAATTAAGCCGGAAACGCAAACAACGGAGAACAACCAACTCAAGTTCGATGAGACCCTCTTTAAGTGAATAAGAAAGTTCTCCAATGTCCAATGGTGGTGCGTCAGGATGAATAATACTGACATGAAAAAGAAAAATTTCGGTCTTGGATTTTGTAGTTAATAAAAAATCTCTTCAGACTAGAGTTCCGATGCTAACTTTTCTTCCTTTACTTCAGAATTATCAATTTTTTTAAAACTTTTTTGAAATAAAATTTAAATTTAGATCATTGTAGCTTAACGAAAATCTCTATTCAGACCCATACATTATTTTTCAGTTCCTTCCCTATAAAGTTAAATAAATTTAAAAACCTGTAAGAAATATTCATAGCATCTCTTGTGTTAATTTTTGTATCGCTGGTCACCTTTCCTGCCACAAGCATACAAGCAGTTGCTACCGAATAAAAAAGAAAAGAAAAATAATTGATAATGAAGACATCCAACAAACATAAGGACAGATATGGCCAGTTGGAAAATCTTTTTGAGTAAGAACACGATGACAATAAATAGAAGAATATCCAATAGTTAATGATTCCGCCTTAAGACGAATTCCTAAAAAATATTTTTTAATTATTGAAAAGAAACAATTGAATTTATAGAAAACAATTTGGTACTTATGAAGATGGAGGTGCCCTTTCTGCGGACTTTTTTTGCGGACTTTTCTTCCTTTCTTTTAAATGTTTTGGTTGTTTTGCTTTCAGCAAGTTTTGCTCGTAGCAATTAATGTCAAAGGATTATTTTTTATGCCAATTTGAAAAATATGTGTTCACGATTAATTTGAATATATAAACGTAAAAAATGTTACAATCAATTAAAAATTTTACTTTAACTAAATTTTCAATTACACGATGATGAATTTCGACAATGGATCACTGATCTCGGAATACTTCATAGAAAAAGAATATGTTATTGTGGAACAGAAATGCGGGTAATTTCAAACCTTGTCCCCCCCCCCCATTATTTTTATTACCTAAGATTGCACAAAATGGTCAGATTTCCTTCTTTCCTCTGTTTGAGCTTGGCATATTCAAACAAGAGACATAGTTGATAAAGAGAAGATTAAAATTAATTGAGTTGTTCAATATTGAGTACGATTTATTTTTTCAGTTGTTCAATATTTTTAAATATAAGTAGGAATGTAAAGTTTTTACACAGAAATTCATAATGTTATACACCAAATCAATTTTATTTAATTCTTTTTTTGTTTAAATTGTTTTCGAAGGCAAAAAATAAGTGTATGACTATAAAATTAATCTTCTCTTTATCAATGTCTCTTGTTTGAATTTGCCACAGGGCAAATAGAGGAAGGAGAGGAAGAAGAAAATCTGACCTTTATGTACAATCTTAGGTAAGAAGAATAATGGGGGAGTGGCGTTGACAGTTAGTTGCTACAAGTAAAACATTTAAAAGAAAGGAAGAAAAGTCCGCAAAAAAAGTCCGCAGAAAGGGCACCTCCATCTTCATAAGTACCAACAATTTATCAAATCTCAAAAAATCAATCACCCAAAATCCCCATGAAAATAATAAAACATATACCCAAATCGATCAAAAATGTGAACACATCACGTCTTGCCGTAGTCGAACCAGTTTCCATACTTACAAAAAAATTCTAAATTAAATAGAAAAAATTGTTTTAGATTTTTAGATAATCCTATATTAAATTTTAGAATTGTTGTCTGTTTGTCTGTCCGCAGCTTTGAATTTTGCTGTGTTTGGCGTTGTGTTTTATTTTTAATTAAAAATGACAAAATATCCCAAACAGAAAATAGTGTGTGTTTAGAGAAGTAAAGAAAGAATGTGAATTTCTTAGAAGTTGTTTTGTTTTTTTTGCTGTAATTTTTTTATTTTTTTTTGTTTGTTAATTGTATTTAAGATGTGTTTTGACTGTTTTGTTTTTTTGTTTGTCAAAATTTGTTTTATTTGGAAATTGTTTTTAGATTCAAAAACAAAGTGATCATTTATTTAACAAAGTTAGTGTCCAACAGTTTGTTATTCATTGCTGATATTTTATTTAAACAACGCGAGTGTCCAACAGTTTGTTTTATTGTGAGGTTTTAATTGGGTGAAATAGGTCTGGTAATGGTTGGTATAATGGTGGTCGAAAAGGTCCCGAAAATGGGTGAAAAGAATATGGCGATGGTTGTAATAATGGTAAGCGAGAATGGTCCCGTAACTGGGTGAAACGGGTCTGGCAAAGGTCGGAATAACGGAGAGCAAAAAGGGTCCCATAAATGGGTGAAAAGGGTCTGGAAATGGTTGAAATAATGGTGAGCAAAAAGGGTCCCGTAAATGGGTGGAAAGAATATGGCGATGGTTGGAAGTAAGCGAAAAAGGTCCCGTAACTGCGTGAAAAGTGTATGGAAATGGTTGAAATAATGGTAAGCGAAAACGGTCCTGTAACTGGGTGAAAAGGGTCTGACAATGCTGGGAAGAAAAATTTCGAGCAATAAGCAAGAGAAAAGTGTCCGTTAAATGACTTGAGAAAAGGGTTCGCCAATATACAAGATAAAAGATCCCGTCAATAGGAAAGAGAAAATAGTCGTTCAATAGTCTTGAGAAAACGGTCCCACAATGGGTGAGAAAAAAGCGGTAATGACTGAGATATAAGAGTCTGACAACGGTTAAGTGACAAGGGTTGTTAATGGCTTATAGTTAGTGTTGTTAATAGTTGATAGTAATAGTTCAAAATTAATAATTGAAGGGCGGTTAATAGTTCATAGTTGTAAATTAATTCTTGAAAGTTGGTTAATATTTGTATATTTGAAAGTAGGTTAATAGTTAATAGTTGAAATAGATATTAATAGATGATTGTGAAAATTGAAAGTTTTAGTTAATAGTTTAATCACTGTTAATAGTTAATAGTTGAAAATTGATAGTTAATAGTTGACATAGATATTGATAATCGAAAGTTAAAAATCTTAGTTAATAGTCGAATCATTGCTAATAGTTAATAGTGAAAATTGATAGTTAATATTAGACATAGATGTTAATAGTTCAAAACTGAAAGTCTTAGTTAATAGTTGAATCATTGTAATATTTAATAGTTGAAAATTGATAGTTAATAGTAGACATAGATATTAACAGTTAATAGTTGAAAGTTGAAAATCTTAGTTAATAGTTGATTTAAAGTTAATAGTTGACGAGTGAGTTTTATGTATGAGGTGTTTTAATTTAAGCTTATGTAATGTTTAGAATTTAGCTAGCGGAAGGGGCGCCCGAAGGGCGACCCCCTCCGCTAGTTTTTCAAAATTCTCAAAAATTATTAAAACAAAAAAATTACAAAAATTAATAATTTACTCAAGATTTAAAAATAAACCCGTAATTTACAAAAAATACAAAATTTTGTTTAAAATTAAACAAATCGGATAGTATCTCCATCTTCAAGTGCAAATTGTCTTAAAAGATTGTCCTTTGTCCGTGCTATCAATTCTGAAGGGAAGTTTGGGTCTGAACGTTGAATTTCAACTCCTAAAATTCTTCTAAATAAATTTTGTTTCTAAATTTCCAAACCTTTTAATTGATCAGGTTCAAATCCAAATAACCGAGCACCTAATCCAACAACTTTATGAAGAGGTAATGACAATGAAAGTGAACGCATTGTAGATTTCTCTTCGAAAGACAAAAAGAGACGGCGAGTTTGGATGCCAGAATATTGGGAAATTGGTGGAGGTTTTCCGTCCTTTTCTGGTTCTGGAATGGTAAAAAATTATTAGAAAATTACAAATGGAATTGATAAATGAAAAAAAGATTTTTTTATTTAATTCAAACCATTTGAAAGACCATAAGCTGCTTTAAGCCGTTCTAAAGTGCTTTTATGCTCCTGACAATTAGGAGGAAGAGAAAAACGACTAATAAAAAGTTTTTCGGCCGATTTACGTAAAGATGAAGAAACATCGCATTTATCCAAATATATCTGTTACAAGAAAAAATTAAATTAAAAATAAAAATTCTATAGCTAGGAGGAATAAGCAACATTCAAAATTAGAGAATGGACCGAGAAGAGATCACGATCAAGAATCTCGGTTAACGAAATCGAGATTTTTTCGAGATCCTCGATTCTCATACGACGTTCCCAGCCGATCACTATTCAAAATAACCCACAAACTTAAAAAATAACCCACAAGTCTTATAAATTTTTTAATTTTCTAAAAAATAAATACAATTTTGGGCAATTTAGCAATAACAATTTCTCTGCTTTCCACACCTCTAGAACCAAATAAAAGAGTTCCTTTCAAATTTAATTTTTCCAAGGAAGGCAAACGACCAAGCTGATCAATTGATTCCCACTAAATAAATTAATTTAAAAGAAAATAAAAATCAAAAGAAAACTTTATTAATTGGATTATCACACAAAATAAGAGTATTTAAATTAGTAAAACCATTAAAAACGCCATCACCAAAATAAATATTTTCTAATTGACAAGATGAAATGTTTAAAGCCTGCAAACTGAAATAAAAATTATTTTTAAGACCAAAGAAAATTTTTTATGGTAAATGATTAAAAACATATTTCCCGTTAAAAAATAATTTTAAGGCGGTAATCCTTAAGATCATTTGTCCCTAGGAAAATATGCTAAATGTAAGAAAGTGCTCTTTCGTTATTTCTGAAGCCTGCCAGTAGGTATCGAGTGCTGATTCTGAATCTGAGCTTAAAAGTTGTCTAATTTGAATCCCGGACCCAAAAAGCTAAGATTCAGACTCTCCACTTGATTACCTAATGGTAAGTCTAAAAATAACGAAGGGACCAATGATCTTTAGGATTACCGGTTTTTGAATTTTTAATAAGTTTATGGAAAATAATAGAACATTAAATTTAAAAAATAACCCTACTTTGGTAAATTAAAAAGAGATTTTAATTTTTCAAATTCTTTAAAAGGATTTCCTTGCAAGTCCAACAATCTCAAATTTTTTAAATTTTCCACATCGAAATAAAAATCATCCAAATTATTTTTTGCCAAGTAAAGTTCTTCTAAGAAAACAAATAAACGGGGCAATTTATTCAACTGAAAGAAAATTTTGAGAGAAATTAAAAAATTAAAACCGTTTGGCAAGTCAAATTACATTCATTTAGAGAAAGTTGGGTAATTCCTTTAAAAACATCTAAATTATTATCAATATTTTCAATTTCTTTGGTAGTGCAGTCTTCCAAAGGTTCGATTCGATTACAACTTAAATTAATAAAAAAAATAAAATTTTTAGAGCATCGTGTCGAATTCCGGTCCCGTTGAAAAATTAAGTTAAAAATCCTGCGAACACATTTTTTAGAGTAACCTTCGCCGCTGATAACGAATACGAACTCGGCGAGATCGCAATTCGACACGATTGCCAATTTTAGAATAAAAATCCTATTTAAATTTAATATTTTATTTTCTTTGAATGATTTTTCAACTTAAAAATAACCAAAAAATTGTTTTGGGGGTAACCAGAATTAGATAAATGCTAAATATTAGTAATAATCAGTAGAGGGCGAACAAGATCCTTGATTTTTCCTGAATTCAGAGTCCAAACCAAGGCATTTTTCAGCTTTCCTTGATTTTTCCGTGACTCAAAATCAAGAATCTGGTCAAGGTACCCAACTGAAAACAACAAGGACCAAGGTCAAGACTTTTTGAAAATCTCGCTCTCTAATAATCAGTCTAAAATTATTTTAAAAAATCTAAACAAACTCCAAATTAAGAATTTTAAGAGCAGGAAAGGCCAACAAAATATTAATTAAATCATTCCATTTTCCAATTAATGTTGAACATAAATCCAGTTCCAAACAAAAATTAAATTTAAATTGGCCAAGTTTATTTAAATTGAGATGAGAAACTTTTGAAAAACTTTTAAAAAATAAATTTAAAAAATATTTAATTAAAATAACCTCAAAACAATGCATTTTAGTTTAAATATTTGTTTTTGTTTTGAATAAATTTTGTCCATTTTAACAAATTCAAATATTTTAGCTGAAGAAGAATCTTGAATTTTTATTTCATCCATTTTTGAATTTGAAGCATATTTTTCATTAATTTCATCAATCAAGTCTGTTCCAAATTCCAAATCTTTTTCTCTAACAAAAGAGCCAGAAGTTGCTGACCTAGAAAAATTTATTTTCTTAGAAATTTTATTTAAAAAAAATTACAAAGCTTCAAAGTATTGTTTTCCATTAAAACTTCCATTGTGTTTCCCTCTTTCTTTATTATCCCAATCAACGCCAATCCAAATTCCTGTTGTTCCTTCAACTTCTCCACAATATTTAACAACCCCTTTAAATTCTTTTAGCATTACACGCTTATTTAATTCAATCATTTAAGGCTCATAAAAAATTTTTTGATATAAAGGAAATTAGAAGCATAAAAAAAATTTTTTGAACACAAAGAAATTTCTTAAATATTTTACAAGACGGTTCACCGCGAATAATTGGCAGATTACTGTAGGCAAACTCTTAATCAGAGGTGGGTCGGAATTCCAATTTCCGGCGTTTTTTCTTTCCGAAAAAAATTTTGATTTCCGAGTTCCGACTTTTGAGCCAGTTCCGATTTCCGGCTTTCCGACACCTCTGACTGTTCCGACCCACCTCTGCTCTTAATAAGACAAATAGCTAAGTTGTCATTTTTAGTTCAAAATTTACTTGCTAACAAGCGAACAAAAACAATAATGTGAAAAAATATATTTACATACAAATATCTAAGAAATATATACATATGTACAAACATTTTATTGGGATATAATGGCTAACAATATCTTCCATCATTCACATATTCATCTAATTTTCTTTTTCTTTGTCGCTGGCATCTTTGTTAGAATCCTTGTTTGAGTTGTCCTTGTCCGTAGTCTCCGTTTCCTTCTGTTCTTCGGTTGACAAATCAGTGCCACTTTTGGTCGCTTCCGCTGTTTCTTTACTCTCCTGAGTCTTCTTCGTTTTCTCCTCCTCTTTTGGAGTTGGCACAGGTGTTGCTGGAGAATCCTTAGAAGTCTCTGGTTTCGAAGGCTCTGTCTTTGAAGTCGCAGACTTTGGGGTCTCCACTTTACTCGTTGCTTTTGATGACTCTTCTTTTGTAACCATCGTTTTAGCATCCGTTGGTGCCTTAGTAGGCTTCTCTTCCTTTGAGGCAGGTTCTGCAGGAGGAGCAGCTTCTTTCTGAGGCACCGGAGCTTTGGCAGTTTTCGGTGCAGATTTGACGAGAGACTTTGTCATACTCTGCATCGTCGTAGTATATGCGGTTTTTACATTGTTGTCATCATTTGGAGTATTATTAGAGGCCGAAAGTGTACAAACTGAAAAATTAAAGAAATATATCGTACTATTTAGAAAAACAACTCACCAACTGTTGAGTTATCAGTCTTCAGTATTGGGAAGATAGGGAACCCATCAGCAGATGTTGCGACTCCAGCATCTTTTTTGCTCGAAAGATTGTCTTCTAAAAATTGAAAGAAAATAAAGTCGGTTTAAAAGCTCTCGATAATTGAAAACTCACTTTTCTTCGGTTTGCCCTTCTGAGATCCCTTCTTAGAATCATCTAAGGCTGTACGCGTACTTGACGATGGGCCCACTTGGGATTTACTATTAGCGTCCGTCTTTGCCTTTTTTCGGCAACAAGTAAATAAGCCCAGCAACGTTCCGCAGATCAAGAATGGCCAAAGCAATTGAAACGCCAGAAGTGCTGTAGTCGTCGTAGCGGCTGACACTAAAATAAACGAAGCAAGAATTTTGAACAAAAGGATTAGGAAACTGAGAGAAACTTACTTTAATGAAGAAAGAAATATGTAGACGTGGACTAAGTTGAAGCAGGAGGACGTAGTTGTGTTGATAATTAAGCTCAAAATCAAGTTGCTTTTATAGTGTTGAAGTGAGGGAGTAATCTTGAGGTAATAGGATTTTACCTCATTCCAATTAAATATGTAATATCTATTACTTTTTAGTCTTTTTATGTACTTTACAAATCATAATTAATAAACCGATTTATACAAGGGTAACTCCACGAGCCTTCGGGGTCGAAAGTGGCGGGATCGGAGTTTGCCGGGAGGTCATGTCGGAGTTCGGGTCGGGTGTTGGAGTTTTACAAAATTCTTAAATTAAAATTTTTTGATTATGGGTGAAGTAATGCAAAAAATGTGTGCAAAAAATGTGCCAAAAGCATGGAAAATTCACTTTTTTAGTTTTTTAGATCACTTGTTTAAAATTTTGAGAACTTTCGAAAGCAGTAGGAAAAAATTCGCTTTTTTGATCATCCTTCGCATCATTCATTTAAAAAATTCTCACATTTTTCACATGATAATATCTAAAAATAAATTTACAATTTTAAAATCAAAATTAGAATGCCTTCTCGAATTCAATCATTCTTTTTTTCACTTACAAATTAGTACCATTAAATTTTTTAATAATCTCTGATTTTTAAATAAAATTTATTTTCTTTACATTATTAAATTACCCATTGTTTATATCTACATATTTATTTGCAAAAATATATAAATAAAAATATTTTTTAAATAACATTTAAATTGCAAACATTTTTTATACGTTTCCATGGTAAAGCTTAAGCATGGTAGTTTATATGTAATTAGAAAGGTGAGGGTGGAGGATTAAATAAAAATTACAAAAAAATAAAGAAAAACTTGAAAGAATATATTTTAGTAAAGAATATTTATTTATATTTTTGAGAGAAAAATGTGAGAGAGAAAGAGATAGATGTTTTTTGAGAGAATTTTCTCTTTCGTTTAGTAAATATTTTGTGCAAATTATCTCTCATATTGTCATCTACATTAAGAAAAATTTTCGAATTTTTCGATAATTTTCGATTTCTGAAAGTAATATTTGTAAAGCATATAGCTATTTAATTCCTAAGGCTGTGCAATAGGCGGCGTGGTTTAATGGCTAACACACCAATCCGGTCTACTGAAGATGCTGGTTCGCTCCCAGGCGCCGAATAATCGTTTGCACTAACTGAAGGAGAGAAATAGCTATAGCCCAGCTGCTTTACTTATTCTATAAAAATTTTACTAAAAATTTTTTAAAATATTTTACTCAAAATTTTAATTAAAAATTTTTTTAATTACACAAAACCCCGGCTCACTTTTATAAAATTGTTTTGTTGACATTTAAATAAAAAATTGTTTTGTTCGTGTTTAAAAAATAAGTTTTTTTCCACTCAGTATTTTATTTGCACTTTAATTTTCTTAGCAATAAATTTTTAAAAAATATTTTTTTGTATTCACATTTTATTTTTTTAAATTTATTTATTAAAATTAAAGAATAAATGGGCTCAGTGCCAGGTTCACTTTTTGGTCACCAACCTAAAACTACAGTTCAACAAATTTGTATAGACCAAAATAGTGGACAAATTAGAAAATTAGGGTAAGTTGACGTTAAAAATAATTATAAAAATATTTATTTTGTTTTTAATGAGGGCAAAATTAATTTAAAAATTTTGAAATATTAAAGTGATATTTCACGTAAAGAAAGTAACTTTCATTAAAATATTACTTCTAAAAAATTTTTTAATATTTAGAGAAGACCAACCAATAGCGATTCGACGTAGATTAAATTCGGCACTAGAATCTGTTGGAGGGAAGATAATGATGGTAATAAATAATTTTAGAAGTTCAAACAAAAAAATTAAAAAAATTAATTAAGTCAGCAGCTTTTAGAAGAAGAACGTTATCTTCAAATAATAGAAGGGGTTCAACATCTTTCCAACAAAAAGTTCAGCAAACTGAACAATTAAATGCTTTAAAAATGCGTTTTTCTGAAGGTGAAAGAGAAAAACAAAATAAAATTGGAGAAATAAATAATAATGAATATACTAAAACTCCATTAGAAAATAAAAATTTAATTAAAATTAAGGTAAAAATGTCGAAGAAATAATTTTTTTATACAAAATTTTTAATTTTAGAAGACAAGTAGAGAAGAGGAGAAAGTTAATATTTTTAATAAATTAATTGAAAATCAATCTGAAGATAAACTAAATTTTAATTCCTCAATAGTATGTACAGGTAGATAAGATTATAATGTAATAAATAGATTCTTTTTTGCTTTCCAATATAATCAAAGATATTGTTTAAATAATTTATTAGTCCCAATTTTGTAAAAATCAACTCTGACACTCCTTATTGTATTAATTCCTTAAATTTATATTTTTTTTATTACAATCGGACCTTAATTATACATACACACAATAAGCTCATATATGTACATTTTTGTTTGGCCATTGAGTTAGAGAGATGTTTCAGCTCCTATTTTTATACACCTTAATTTTTACATCAATCTTATCAACCCCAAGGTTTCTACGTAAAATCAAGGTCCGACTATATTTTATTAATTTTTGTACCCAAAATAAATAGAAAAAAGTTGTTGGTTTTTAACCAAAAATTAATTACAATCTTTAAAAAGAGCAAACAACAACAACAACAATATTTGGACGTCATAAAGAAGAAGAATTTAATAATATATCATCTTATAATTTAAATAGTAAAGAAGAAAAAAATAATTGTGGTGACGATATTAATGATGACGTTGAAATTTTAATTGATATTAAAAATGAAGAAAATGAAATTAGTAATTCTGCTTTAACTGATACTTTTTATATTGAAAAGAGAGAATTAAATCTGGTTAGTTTTGGAAAGAATTTAAATTTGGAAATTAAAAAATTAAAAAATTTATTTTGGGATCTTTCAAATTTTTTAATTTTCTTTTTCATATCATCTAAGGGTTTTTATCCTTTTTTATCTTTAACTGAAAATATTTTGTAATTTAATATTCTAATAGTAATTAATATTCATAGAGATCCCCACTTTTTATCAGGCGATTGTTTTTCTAAACCTTGAAATTTATTAAGTCTATTGCTACAGTAAATGTGTGTCCAAATCCTGTCTCTCATAAGGATCATTCAATCTTTGGTATGAGTAATTTCGAAGTACTGGCAAAAAAATTTAATTTTGAAAATATTGAATGTGTATTTACCAAAAAATATTTTTAAAATTATTTTTAAAGAATTTTAACTAAAAAATTTAAAAATAAAATTAAAGGAAGATCAACAACAACAACAACATCCCCACAAACATCCCCACAACCAACAACAAACTTCATCTTCTCCTTCACTTTCTCCATTACGTACACGTCTTTGGACAGCCCCAATAGAAACTTCAAACAAAAGAATTCAACAAAAACAGCCCTGTAAAGCTGTTTTTAGATCTGCCCAAAGAAGAAGTGCCACAGGCATTAGAAGGGCCGATAAACATTTAGAAGAACCAGCACTTTTAGTTGATTTAGAAGGGATTTGTTTAGATGAAAAATGTTTGAATAATTTAATTGATAAAGACGAAAATTTGGAAAATTCTAAAGAAGAAAGAAAAACTCCTGAAAATACTTCTTCTAATTTATCTTCTTCATTAACTACAGCTAGAAGACTTTCGAATACTTCAGAAAATACTAAAGGAGAAAAAAAGAATTCTGCAATGAGTAAAGATTCCGGAATTGATTTTTGAAGGAAAAAGATGAGGACGGAAATATTTTTTTTTGAAATAAATTTATTTAAATTTTATTTAAATTAAATTAGGCTATTAATTTATAAACATTTATTTTTAAATAAATTAAATATCTCAATTAATTTTAGAAAAAAATAATTAATTTAATTATGACGTTTTTTTAAATTGTTTAACATTTTTATATTCTTTGGCCAACAATTTTTTACAAGTTGGAAAATAAAAAAAATTTTTGCGCAATCTTCCGTCTGCTATATTTTTAATTTATTGTGTTTTAATTTCTTGTTTTCTTGGGGGTTTTTCTCTCGATATTTTAAAGGAAATTAGATGATTAGGAATGAGATAATACATTCAATATTCTATAGGGTTGGTCCCCGCCCCGTGTATCTGCCTCCCCGAAAACTGTTCTCCGTGGCCCCCACCCGTCGGGGACCAACCCTAATATTCTACTTCCGATATTCTTGTAGCCTTTCACCTTCCATCATAACTAGTATATAATTGGGAGTTTAAATAATCTTTTTATTTTTTAAATAAAAAAAATATTCTTTGAACTTGAGGTCTTTAATTAAAAAAATTTTTTAAATAAATATTTAATTTTTGCTATCATACATTAATTTTTACAATAAAATCATAAACAGTTTTTACGAAAGAAATATTTTTTTTTAATTTTTATTTTGTTACAGTTGCGCATACTTTATAATAAATAAAAATTTATAGAACACCTTCCATCTTAACTTTTCCCTCTCAATATTTTTTGACTAATTTCCGTATTTTTAATGTTCCTCTTATTCGTTCATTTCATTTATTTCTGGTCTCGATAATATTTTTCTAATTTGATTTTTAAAAATATTATAATAACTATTTAATTCAAAATAAATTGAAATTTGTTATAAAATCCCTGTTTAAATACACAGTTCAAAATTTAATAAGCCTAAATTAATTACTTTTGTACTAGATGATTTCAATAACCTCTTACTTCCTACTTTTTCTATCTCTTTTGTTCCTTTTCGATTTTACAACATCCAATTGTATTGAATATTGTTTTGTTCCCCCTCAACAATATAGTGGTTGCAATATTTGTGGAGGATATGGATATGGAAGTGGATATGGATTTACAGGAGGATATGGGGGTTATGTACCTCAACAGACACAGCAATTATACGTGCCACAACAGCAACAGTATGTACCTCAACAAGTTGTCGTGCAACCAGCCGGTGGTGGAGTAGGAGGGAGTGGATATCCGTCTGGACAAGGATATATTCCACAAAGCGGGTAAATTTAAAAGAAAAACATCTCTAGAAAATTCCTAAAAAATTTTTAGAGGAGTAATTCCTCAGACTACCGGTGGACAATCTTATGTAGGGACGACTGGAAATGGAGGCGGTAATGTTGGAGGAGGAACAAGTGGTTGTGGATCAGGTGGATGTTCAGCAGGAGGTACAGGAGGAACAACAGGAGGAAGTAATTATGGAGGAGGTGAAAGTTCTGGAGGAACAGTTTCCGGTACTGGGTTGGGTGGAAGCACTGGAGGTACAGGAGGGGGTGAAACTGGAGGAACCACTGGGGGAGAAGAAGGCACAGGAGGAACAACTGGTGGAAGTAGTGGGGGATCTGAAGGTGGTTATGGCGGCAGTACAGGAGGTACGGGAACAGACACAGCAAGTGGCAGTTTGGGCACTGGAGGATCTCCAACCAGTGGCAGCAGTTATGGTAGTGGACAAACGGGAAGTTAGAAACGATTTTTGTGAAAATCATTAAATTGAAAACTTGAATTTAGCCCAAACTGCTGGATATCAACTAGCAGCCACTCAAGTAGCTACTGGAGAAAACAAGCAATGCTGTTCCTGCGGCAATTCAGGTGGCTGTTATCAAACTAGCCCTCAACAGACCGCTGCTGGAGGTAGTGTTGCTGTCCAACCAGTTGCTGCTCAACCAACAGGAACCGCCCAAGCCAGTGGCCAACCCCAAAAAGGTTATGGAGATGTTCGAAGAAAGAAATTCTCTTCAAGGCACAGACAACGCCAGATCTTTGGAAGAGGGACCATGGTAAATCACATGGCGGTAAAGCGAAAATCTTGGATTTTATATGAAGTTTCTTTTTTAGATGCTCAGTCAGTTACAACCAATTCCACCTGTGAAAAGAGAGAAAAATCCTCCAAAACCTTTTACTCTTTTTAATAAATCTCCCGTTGATGCAATGAAATCAAAAGGGCAATCTTTTGAAAATAGAGCAGCAAAATTGAAGAAAATTTAATTCTACATATAGGAATTTCAAGTTAGTAAAAAATTTCGGTAATAATGCAGAATTGGGGAGATGTCAAATTTTCTGATCAGCATTGTTGATTACCTAACATATATACCTAAAATGATTTTTAGAAGAAAAAATAATAATTTATGAGGTGTCTCCCCAATTCTGCATTACTGCAATTTTAAATTTTTTCGACATATAGTTTTGTAAAAACTTTGTTATGTATTAAAATCGTCTAGTTTTTATTTTTATGAATAAAAGGGAAATAAGAATTATTTTTATGAGTTTAAAAATACATAAATCTTTGAAATAAACTAATCGGAATATCACAAAAAGTCGCATTTCGAATTAATTTAGACAAAGGATATCGATGGATTTGAAGGAACTACATAAGATGTGGGTGAAATTGAAAGGAGGTACTTTATTAATATACCGTCCTCCACCTCCATATGAGTCTTTGTTTAATTTGCCTTTCATTTTTTCTGCCTCGAAATGGTCAAATCTCCTTTATAAAGTTGATTTTTGCCGTTCCCATCTATTCTTTCCTTCCTAATAAATTGTGTTTTCCTATAATGTTTGAGGGAAATAAATGAATGACAGTAAAAAAGGAAAATCAATCTGAGACTAAAATAGGGTTGGGGCCGGAATATTAAGGATTAGGTTGGATCAAGATGAATGACTCAAGGGAGATGAATCAAGGATTTTTAAAAATTAAGAGAATATCGAGAGATCTGGGGATTTGGAGGGAACTACTTATATAAATTCTTCACGCTTTAACGGAAGATAACTTTTCAAAAATTAATTTTACCTATAAAATGTAAGTTTAAAATATAAATTTTATATGATCGAAAGAGAAAAATTGAACTTTTAGAATCATTTTAAGTTTTGGAAATTGGATCAGAATTAACCGACAAATACATTTTATTCTAAACCTTTAAAAAAGTTTTTCCTTTTTCCTTATTTTGGGTGTTATTAAAGGGGTTTGTGGATAGAGGTCAACATGGGACAATCCAGTACAGGATTTTATGGGATCCCGTCTGATCTGTGAGGTCTTTTGCTGAATTTCGCATTGATCTGTGAGGCTTAAAAGGGATAGCAGAAGTTTCATAAGTTAAACTCAGGAGGATTGAGAGATATCCGATGATGAGGGATTACAAAGGGATATCATAGATTTGAGTATTAAACTGAGGATGAAGAGATAACAGGGATTTATGGTTTAAGAGTGATATTGTGAATCTTGGGGATTAAGAGTATATCGAGAGATTTGGGCAGGTTTTGCCTTTCGTCTTTTGTTGAATTTCGCCTTTTTTGGATTGATTTTTCCCACTATTAAAAACCTATAAAACAAAGGTGGGCATATACTTTTGGAACACTCAAATTTAGATTTTGATCTTTTTACAATAAAGAAAGACATATGTATATTTCTGAATTTTTTTGTATTTTATTTCTAAATGCCATGGTATTTAATCATAAAAAATTTAAGAAAAATCTATAACGATATCACGTGGATTAAGCTAAAAATATAGGTGGGCATATACTTTTGGAACAGATTGTATAACTTTCAAACCATTTTAGATTATAAAACTTGCCCATCAAAGATAATAAAATTTGACATTAAAATATTTCATTCTTCTTTGTTAGAAAATATATTTGTTTAGCTGATAATTTAAAAAAAACTAAAATTAAATAAAATTCTAAGCCAACAAAATCTTCTCGTATCTCAAATTTTTATATTCAATATACCAACAATTTTGCCAAAAATAAGAGCTGGTGGCTCACAAATAGAACTATGGCTTAAAAATAAAAGCTTTGTATTTAATTTTCTAATATTTTTTAGAAGATTTACACTCTGTTTCAATATTTCCACCTATATCTTTAGCTTTATCCACTATTAAAAACCTATAAAACAAAGGTGGGCATATTACTTTTGGAACACTCAATATTTAGATTTTGATCTCTATACAAAAAATAAAAACATATACTTCTGAATTTTTTTGTATTTTGTTTCTAAATGTCATGGTGTTTAATAATGAAAAACTTTAAGAAAAATCTTTAGCGAAATCACATAGATAAGGCTAAAAATATAGGTGGGCATATACTTTTGGAACAGAGTGTATTTGTTTAGCTGATAATTTTTTAGAAAAATTAAAATTAAATACCTTCTATTAAAATAAAATCATTCTTATATATTTCTCATAATTATTTATATTTTTGGTATTATCAGTTTACATCCCTGCATTTTACTTTCTCCCTTTTATAAATACCGATACTTGATAAGGTATTGTAAGGAAGGCCTCGGCAAGCCAGAGGACTTGATCACCCTTTAAGCTTCCCGATAGGATTTAGGTTTCTCTTATATTGAAGTCCACCAAATACCCCAAATGGAATGGCCCAAGCCAGCACGACACATGGACGGCGTGCTGTGTTATTGTATTTATGAAATGCCCAGCTTTGCTTTTCAAAACGTTGGTTTATGTCATGAAATACAGCTTTTGAAATTATCACAATGCCGGTTCTAGAAAGCAGAGAGCGGTACATATCGCTATAGGAAAATCATTTTTTGTGGCTTTTCCGTTACGACGTCAGGCATAGAAAAATTCCCCCAATTTCATTTTTGTCATTAATTACGAACTAATTAAGAATTGTGACAATATTTTTTGGTTATTTACATTCTGTTTTTATTTAGAAAAAATATCTAAATATTTATTTTAAAAATGAAAAGAAACTTCATTAAACAATGCAAAGTTTGTGGATC